TGTGGGGAATGATCATGCGTGAGGGCTTGTATTGCGCGCAGAGGACGTCACGCGCGCGCGAGGGTTTGAAATGAGCTCGCGGGCTCCCGTTTCCTCGTGTGTAAATCTGTTTTCCTCTCGCGGAATTGATTTACCGCGCGCGCCAGCATCAGTGGTGCGCTCGGTTATTAATGGCATAGAATTGCCGCCATATACACTCCGGTTTAGAGGAACTAGGCAGCACTGGTTAGGAGTTGATCAAAATGGTTGGATGCATTCGAAAGCTGAATTTCTAAGCTTTAAAATGATACCTAATTATTTAAAAAAAGGTCATATAAAAGATAAAATAGACAGAAACGTTATAGGTTTTTCATTCAGCTTGTTAAGTGTTCAATAGAGCTCTTCAACTGATTTCTTCAATTCATGGGTTTAGGCATTATTTATACATGAAAGACGCAATGGATTGTTTTGATTTTGGACTCATTTCAATCGTGATAATCTGCTGTAAATAATGATATGTCATTTTCCACAATCGGAGCATGTTTCATGAAATGATAAGCATAAAAAACCATGAGAATATTGCAACATGTGCGCATTTGGAGTTTTATGTGTTATAATTCGATGATGCATATCTTTAGATCTAAATGACAGATTATGGTAAGACCGGGCTCATTTTAATCGAGAGAATTTGCTGGAAATAATGACGTGCTATTTTCCATGATCTATGCAAGCTTCATGAAGTTATGAATGAAAACGTAACCTATGTTTTTCTCAATTTAATGGTTTCATGTGTGTGATAACATCATAAGTAATATATTTAGATCCAATGAACGAATTACGATGAGTTTGGGCTCCTTTTAAACCGGAGAATTTTCGGAAAATAATGACGTGCAATTTTCCGTGATATATGCATTTTTCTGCATGCATGAAGTTACGAATAAAAGCGCAAAGTGAAACTACACTTATTTGTCCTGCTGCACCTGAATCGCGCCCATTGGATTTTATGTGTTATAGCAATATGAGCAATATCTTTGGATCTCATAGACGGATGAGCTGGGCTTATTTTAATCGGGAGAATTTTCTGAAAATAATGACGTGTGGTTTTTCAAGATCTATGCATGTTTCGTGAAGTTATGAATGAAAACGCTACGTGAAGCATAGAGCTGTTTTTCTTTGCAGCGCCTCAGTGCGCCTGTCTGCTTTCATGTGTTACAGCTCTATGAACGAAATCTGATCGACAGATTATGGTAAATTTGGGCTCTTTTTAATCGGGAGATATGCATTATATATGCATAAGATCTATGAATGTTTGGTGAAGTTACGAGCTAAAACGCCACAGGACTGCAACCTCTGATTTTTTTGCTAAGCTACATGACCTAATTCTGTTTTATTTGTTATAGATTTATGAGAGATATCTTTAGATCTAAACGATGGATTTTGGTGAGTTTGGTGACTCTTTTTAATCGGGAGAATTTTCTGCAAATAATGACGTGTCGTTTTCTATGATATAAGCATGTTTCATGAAGTTACGAGCGAAATCGCCACATGACAGCTACCTTAGATTTTTTGGCTAAACTACATGCTGCCTGTGCAGTTTTATGTGTGTTATAAATTCATGAGGAAAATCTTTAGATATAAATGTCAGATTATAGTGGTTTTGGGCTCTTTTTAATCAGGAGAATCTGCTCTAAATGGTGCCTTTTCCATGATCTGATTTTTTCATGAATGATGACCACATTTCACATGATGACCTCGTGTTTTATGAAGTTACAAGTAAAATGGTGACATCAATATATTATTTTCCTATGGGTCTGGGGGTGACTTCTTGTACAAAAACTTGCTCCAGTTTATTCAAAGCCCCAAACAATTATGCTTGTTTTATTCTACTCGATGAGACCTTTCAAATGACATATGATATGACACATGACTATTCGAGCTGTAAGATATTTTTGACATATTAAAGTACATGGCACAAAAAAAATATTTTGTAAATTATGATTTTTTTTTGTCATTAATCAGCAAATAACTCGGCACTACTTTGGAGTTAATCAAAGCTACATGCATTGTAAAGCTCAGACTCTGAGCTTTCAAATGATATCCATTTTTTGTTGATCAAGGCAGTGGTTTGAAAAATATGATTAGTAATATTGTCGCGGAGGGGGGGCGTCCCGCCCGCGGTACACTTCAGTTTAGAACATGAAATTCGTAAATTGGTAGAGAGATTTTGCTATACCATTTATACCACAGAAGATATATTTAATCAGATATCACCATGATTTTTACATTACATTGACAAAGAAACCAGGTGAAAACAGAGGGGAACAAATCCTAAACAAGTTAAATTGAGGTACAACAAAACTACACTACCATTTAAAGGTTTGGGATTGGTAATGTTTTTAAATGTTTTTCAAATAAATCTCTTATGCTTACTAAGGCTGCATTTATTTGATAAACAAAAACAGTAAAAACAGTAATATTGTGAAATATTATCACAATTCAGTACAACTGTTTTTTATTTGAATATATTTTGGCAAAGCTGAATTTTCAGCATCATTACTCCAGTCTTCGGTGTCACATGATTCTTCAGAAATCATTCTAATATGCTGAAACATTTCTTATTATTATCAATGTTGAAAACTGTTTTGCTGCTTAATATTTTTTGTGAAAACATTGAAATATTCTTTCAGGATTCTTAGATGAAGTTTAAAAGCATTTATTTGAAATTTCTTTACTGTCTCTTTTTATCAATTTAATGCATCCTTGCCAAATAAATTTTTTTTTGAATGATATTGTATCTGTGTGAGTGAGAGAGCATTCAAAACAAAGCATTAACGCCATCCTACTAGGCCTGTCACGATAACAACTTTTGGTTGTGCGATATATTGCCCCAGAAATAATTGCGATAAGCGATATTATTGTCATTTTAAAGACCATTTTGCAAAAAGGCACAGATCCCTAAACAAGGCCATATCTTCATATGAAACTTTTTTTGTAGAAGCAGTTTTTAAATTTGAACTAGCACCAACTACACCACGTTATGTACGAGAAGCTGCAAAAGACACAGGCGCAAGTGGAATGTAAAAAACACGGTGACATTCATTTTTAAGTAAATATAATGGGCAATATATTGCGTCACCAAAAATTATTGAGGTCATGTACATATATTGCGCGATAAGTCGATATATTGATTATTGCGACAGGCCTACATCCTACACATGCCATGATGACACAAAAGCAAATATTTGCTGTTTAGCAGAAATGCTGTGATGACACAGCAGAAGAAAAAGACAGAAAAACAGTGGGAGGAGATGACGAAACTAAGAGCTTGAGGGAAAGGAAGGAGTGTGACTGTGAGAGAGAGAGAGAGAGAGAGAGAGAGAGAGAGAGAGACATGACTTAAAATATTATGAATAACTATGGCGAAACAAGAGTCCAACACAGTGGTGTACAGGAATGTTTAAGAATGAACATGTCTAGGTGATTGTGTGTATCAAATCTCATTTCAAAAAACAGAAAATTTGTTAATTAGACTCTAGATCTAAATTGTTCAAAAGGGCTTAAGAGAGCAGAATGTCCAAATAGACTTTTTGAATGAGGAAAATGATTTGCTGTATTAGGGCAGCACAATTAATCGAATGCGATTGTCATGCGCATCTTGTCAGTAAAGCCGGTTCTGTGATTAGTAGTAAATCTCCAGCACGTGCTTTCAGATGGAGCAGCGTTTACTATACAGAGCCGTAGTTCACTGACAAGCTATGCAAAAAGCTGTCATAATCGCAGAACGATTTCATAATCGCGCGATTAAATCGTCTGCGATTATGACAGCTTTTTGCTAGCTTGTCAGTGAACTACGGCTTTGTGTAGTAAACGTTGCGCCATCTGAAAAATACCACATTTGATAACGTTTTTACTCCAAACTCACTTCATAAAGTCAGTCGAGTGCTTGAAATAAATCCTTCTGTGAGATGATGTGGCTTCTTACACAGAATAAGGCACGCAACATATTTCATAGTATTCTAAGCAGTGATAAAGGCTATGTCGATTAGCATTGCATTATTATATACTTTATTATAATAAAAATTATAATAAGACGAACTCAGATAAACAAAAGCGTATTTGGAGTTTCAGCGTGAGAGCGCCCTCTGGTGTTCGGATGGGCTATAGGCATTTCCTGGGTTTCTTCTGCGAGGGTTATTTGGAGTTTCCGCACGAGAGCGCCCTCTGGCTTTGGATGGACATTTACTGCTGATCACAGAACCGTGCTTCACTGAAAGATACGCATGACAATCGCAGCTTCTGCCTAATCGTGATTTACCGCCTTTGCGATTTAATTTCGATTAATCGTGCAGCCCTACGCTGTATTAAAGTTTGTACGATTTTTTTAGGTCAAAATACACTCTCTTCACCAAGTTTATTGTTCATTGACTACTATAAGTAGGCCTATGCCATTCATGGGTTTATTGCCCCCAAAAGTGTAAACATTGAGCCTCACAGGCACCATCAAAACATTTAGAGCAGCCCGCTAAGATTCATCAGTCACTTTCCAGCTCAACCAATAGTGAGAGTTTGAGGCATGGCTACTGTAGCAAGCTGAGCCAGACGGTGTTTAGCCAGTGTGGCAACATGGCTGATGTGATACATGGGAAAATAAATTCAGATTCATTTGAAGAAATGCAAGCAAAAATTTGAACAATTGCCAAAATAAGCATAGACAGACAAAGGCGTAAAACAAGGTAAACACTGGTGGTGCTTTTAAAGATGGAGGAATCTGAGGGAATGTTTGGGTTTCAATCGAGATGCTAAACTTGAGTTTCTTCTCAACAGGTAAGCTAAAGTTTTGGTACACGTTTGCTCTTTACTGTCAAGCCCCAGATTAAATGGTAAGATATTGTGAGGCACGGAAGGACATGATGAGTGTAAGGAGCGTTTGCGAACGCTGTTTGACTATAAGCTAGGTGACACTAGTAGCACAGAAACTGAAAACTTCACCTTTAATAAGTGGGTATACAAGTGGTTCTCACCTGTAGGTTATCAGTTGAACCGCTGCTGAGATCATCCCCGGATTCTGAATCATTTCGGTTCTTATCCAAGCCACCTCCCTCTCTGGCAAACTCTTCATGAATTGCACCTTTTTCCGGTCCACGACTGCTCTTCTCCAACTCTTTATCTTTATCCTTCTCTCCATCTACATTGCGACTTGGGGACTTGGCTCTGGAACGAGGAAGTGAGCCAGGTAAAGTGTTCATTTGTGTTGGGGGGACGTGTGCCGTCGGGCTACCCGGGCTGCCTCTGTCATCATTGGGCGTCAGTAAAGCATTGCCGGAGGGAGAGGGACACAGGCTTTTTTTGCTCTCATCTGGCCGCTGGATCTCCAGGCCAGATGGTCGAATGGGTCCAGTCCCCCCTCGGCCTGCTGCACTGAGAGGTTTAGGAGGGGGCATGAGAGCCCGTCGCACCTCCCGCACATACTGCGCTGGGACATAGAAGGCCTTACTGACCTCGTCCTTGCGCACCTGCCACCAGTCTTCATTAGTCTTCTTCACAAGCAGGTAACTTTCTCCCTGTTTAATGATGATCACACGGTCTTTGGATTTGTACTCATAGTCGTACTCCACCTCTATGTACATCTGACCTGGAGCCACCGAGCGGTCTGCCATTGCTGTCAGAGCTCAAAGGTCAACAGCAGGAGTAGAGGAGCATGGTGAGGTGTGGGTGGGTTGATTTGAAATCAGCTGAAGGAGAAAGAGAGAGACAAAGGACATTTTATCAGAAATATCGATGACCTGTATCAGTGTGTGAAATGTTCTGCGGTTGCAAAGTCAAGGCAGTTTTATGGTAAATGACTGAAGATTAATAAATAAATGCTTGACCAGGGATGCTCCGATTGATCGGCTGGAGATCGGTATCAGCCGATAATCACATTTTATGACTCGATCGGTACTAACTAACTTGGCCGATCTCACGAACCGATCACAATTTGATGACGTCAACGCGTGACGACGTACATGATGCGTGGGGACATAAATGATTTGGCGCCACAGTCATGTCATAGCTGGTGTGGAAATGCTATGACGTTTCGAGAAACAATGAAAAATTTGCTATTTGTCGCATATGTTTTGCATAATGATATGATAAATAGGCCTAGATGGCTCATTTTTAACAGCAGATTCAGTGACGTTAGAGCTGATCTGCGCCTCAATGCATGCGTCTGCGGCGCGTTACGGCTCCATGGGAACCGGAGCTGATTGCGGCCGATCTAGTCAGTGCTTGTGTTTATGAGCCAGCCGCGGCACGTTTCTGAAGCGGCTCTCCGCGCAGCTTGGCTAAAAATAGTCTTTTGTGAGTTGTCACAGCGTGGAGGATGGAACAAAACCTCGTCGGAGCCGTAATGCCGAGTTCACACTGCACGATTTTCAAAGTCGTCGGGTCACCGTTTTCACACTGCACGACTATCTGAGGTAGCAGTCAGTCGCTGCTGTGTTCACATTGCACGATGGATTGGCGACAGGGGGTTTCACACTGCATGACTTCACAATAGGAAGAATTGCCGACAGCTCTGTGTTATTTATAAAACAAAATATCTTCTTTGGCCATATTAGCCTACTCAATAGCATTAACACAGGCTTTACTACTTTCAAACTTTATCTGGAATGTCACTGTTTCTGTCACTGAATTCGCACGCGAAATCGTCTTCCTAATAAAAAAAATTGATTTAAAAAAATGTAGTTAATATTTGCATCATTTATGATTTATTTTATCCACCCGCGACCCACCCGCAAATAATCAGAATGCATTTTTTATTACCCAGCCCATGGATTAACAACTTCAGTCTGCTCATCACCTTAACTTTAACTGCGTTTGTAGCCGGCGCCATAGCCAGACTGATAAACAAACACAGACCGGCAGTTACCTTCAGGCCAGGAGCGTGCGCCCGATGAAACCGTCTATATAAAGCTTGAAGCATCAGAATCGGCATCGGTATTGGCCGATCAACATGACAAGAAATCGGTACTCAGTATCGGCTGCAAAAATCCTGATCGGAGTATCCCTATGCTTGACCAAGCAATGTCATTCGTTTCCTCTTTGACTATATGAAAATAAAAGATAATGAAAAATTATAAATTAAATGTAAAAATTTAAATTAAATTAAATATTAAATAATATTTATGTTGTTGGTTTTTCAACTTCCTGGAATGTGATGTCATAAAACCTTTTCTATATAAACCTGCAAATTTAGCCCCCATTTCTCATCTTCTCATCTAATAACATTTTAACATACAGTATTATGTGTAAGGTGCACAAATTAAAACATGAAGCAAAAAACTCCTTCCTGTGAGTTCAAAACATTCACCACTATGGAGAAACCAGGATTTTGAAACATAGTGGAATTTGCTTCAGGGTATATGAACTTCAGCACAAAGCAAACATCCACACTCAGGTGTCTCTGACTTGAGCAACTCATCCTGATTGAGACACAATTATGAGGTCACAAATTATACAAAGCAGATTCAGTGGCCTTTTCAGTGATTTTCTAAAGGTGACACCTTTAAACACACACCATACACATTCAACTATGATAAACATGACAATATTACACAAAACTAAACTCATCTGTCTAAAGTATTATTCATATCTCCAGGGCCAAAAGTTTTTAATGTAGGCACTTAAACATCTAGCCTAAGTAAGTAATTACACAAAAGTGCAGCAATGACTTTGCTAACAAACACGTGGTCTCTACAAAGGATTCTGTCACATTACTTGTATGCTTGGATAATTGCAATTCTAGTGTTTCCCTTCAGCACCAGACACTAAACAGCACATTTTATGTCATATATTGAAGGAAAAGCTCATTGCCAATAGCCAACTGTAATAGCTACATCTGATTTTATGTCTAGAAAAAAAAATGTATGACTATTAAGTCTATTAATCCTGCTGAAGTTTCTGTGGACGTCTGATAGTGCAGGTGTCTTTCCATCCTCATAACTAAAGCACAGCATCAAAAGAAATCACTGATACCCCATGCCGACATGCTGCTTAACCAGAGACAGCTGAGCTAAGCAACTAAACACTGGTTTACTGAACACAAGCCTGACCCAATGAGTGATGACATCAGGAAGAGTAAACCCTGCGGTGAAGTGTCTGAGAATAGGATTTTGGGATGAAGAAAAGAAAAGGTTCCTACAACTTTTGACCAATGAACTTCCATGACATTTTCCAAGACTTTCTAGTAATTCATGATTACTGAATACATAATTCTATAAGGACACACAATTTTCAAACACAATTTCTAGCCAATAAAAAACTAGACAAATCTATAATTCCTATATATATATATATATATATATATATATATATATATGTGACACTTTTTAACGATTTTGTTAATTTTCACATGACTTTTCCAAGTTTCCCATGACCTTGGGAAACCTGGAGAAATATCAAAGCTTTCTTTCATGTTTTTGGACTAGAATACCAACAAAGTTTCATTCAAAAGGTATTTTTATTTGTCATGGGGAAACTTTTAATGAATGTCAGTAAGCACAAAGCCAGTGTTTCAGTTAATTGAATAAATAATGCACAATAAGTTTAGCAAGACAATGTAAGAGCAAAGCATGTGACAGAAGCTCCACCCACACAGAGAAAGCTCTTCATATCTCCAACACAATCACTAGCATAGCCTACATACTGCCCTCCTGTCAACATGAGGACAGCTTAAAGTGCTGTCATATAGATTTTAATCCAGGATTTAAACTCTTTAAAGCCGCTTAAATTAAGTGTTAAACTGCATGGCAGGACATAAACTGCCATTGACAATGATCATTTCCCCCTATACAATGAGTAACGTTAATTATAATTTCCTTGTCATTTTACCTCCGTGTACGACATAAAGCTGTATCGTTATGTCATATAAACAGTTCAAACAATGACACATCAATGTCAAATGTCACTAAATTAGCTTTCCCAGTCAAACATAATCCAACTGACAAAATAAAATAATAATAAAAAATGTATTACAAAAAAATAAAATGGTAAAAAAAGAATGAGGCTAAAGGGAAGATCTTTAATCTGAGGTGAAATTCCTTCCTTCAGGTAAATTAAGTTAACGATAAGTGTCACACTTTAAAACTCACCTGTGTGACAGGTTAACGTCTCAAATTAAACTTTCAAATTTAATTTTCTCAGGAAATTCAGTGTTAAAGTCTGTATACATCGTTTTCTCCGCTGGAAAGAGGTGAGTAGACCTGAGGAAACAGGTTCGCTCTCATTCCTACCTGCTAACCAGCTAGCACGTTCACAAAATCCGTAAAACCCTATTAAACACCTATAATTGTTTCTATGTCTACAGGTTACCGACAGATGAACGTACCTCAAGAAATATTCCAGGGGTTTCGTGAGCTAGGGCGAAAGAAACATGATTAATTTCACGTTCATTGGTCTTGCTGGGCAGTTGAGCGTCGAAGTTCCTTGTTCCTGAGCCGCGGCGCGAGCGAATGCCTCCGGCACGCTCGCGCCCACTTTCCCACAAGCGCACTCCCACGCGCGCCTGACGGGCCGGTGCTTGTGTGAACTTCACTTGGAATCTGGAGGGTCGTATGACGGTAAACTGACGCCACCGTGAGGCTATAGATGGATAACCTCACAAAACTATAATTAAGAAATTAGGAATTTAAAAAGTGCTCTCCAAAATTATTTGGCTGATTTAGAGGCCTGCAAGCCCGTCGGGTCCCGCTGAGTCCATTTGGGCCGGGATCGGGTCTTTTAGCTTCTCATTGTGCCCATATACGCGCAGAGCACACATAGGCTACTGTATGAAATATTGTTATATTGAATATTGATTAAACAGGCATATTATACATA